ATTAATATAAAATATAATAACTATTTAAAAAAATACTTACATAAAAATAAATTTCTTACCACTAATAACAAATTTAAAACTCAAATAGTTGGAGAATTTGAGTTATATAAGAGATGAGAATATGATTTTGGTGTGAAGAATGAGGGAGGGTTGAGGGGGTTTATATAGGGGAGGAGGGGGTAGTTCGGGAAAACGGATGGGGGCATTTATGGCATTTAATGGAAGGTGCGTCCCCGGGGATGCGCTTTCCACACGTGGCAGTCGAGTCAGTGAAGGCGCGTCCCCGGGGATGCGTCTTCCACACGTGGCATCCAACTCAGCGAAAACACGGGTAAAGCGCGTCCCCGAGGACGCGTCTTTCGCCAGCTCAGCAGAAAGGGTGCTACTTCGGGAAATATTGGTCAAACGGTGTCAGAAAGGGGATATTAGAGAAAATTAGTGTCAGTTATGTCAAATAGCCGGGTGTTTGGACAAATCGGATAGATCATGACCCTACATAATAGGTATAGTACAACTACATCTATATGTCTCATATAATCTATTCTCCAACAAATAAATTGATTTGTACCTATTTTAAAAAATTCATATTTAGAGGTAGTTGAATTTTAATTTAATTACTATACAATTTTAAAATTATAAAATAATTTAGGTATTGTATTATTTAACTAATACAGAAATGACCATCCAGCTTAGTTGATAGAGCACAAGGTTCTTAACCTTAAGGTCGTGGGATCGAGTCTCATGAAGGGCATTTTATAATTTGGAGGTCTCATACGGAAGCTGCTATTAATCTAGTGTTGGGGGTAGCCTACTATCTTGCTTCCTCCTTACCACATTTATATATGGGAACAAGGGATAACAATTATTTAACTGATACAATGTTCGTTTTCTAATTTAGTTCACACATTACTATCAATTTAAATGCATAATATTTTCATAAAATAATGTGATTAGCTACGGAGATATAAAGTTAAAAAAGGTACGATTAATGTCTTTTATGAAAAAAAATATTTGAAAATGTCACGTATTAATCTTCTAGAAACCTTGGTACGTACGATAAGTGTGGGGTCTTAATTTGTGCGAAGTAGGGCAGTCTTTTAGCTGGTGCCGATGCCTTTGCGTCGTGGTAAGAGAGGACGGGGACCAGATCCAGACTCAGGCTACCTACGTAAAGATAATATAAATATTGTTTAAATATATATACATATTTTAAATTTTAAATAATAATAATGAGTAACATAATAAATTTATATGAAATATATAATATTATAAATTTATATATATATATATATATATATATATATATATATATATATTGTAATACCCATAACCCGTATAATTATACCTATACAGATTATAGATGCTATCCGAATTTCTAAAACCATTTTACGATTCAAAAGCGATTTAAAATTTATTTTCTTAAAATAGTAAATGATATTATAAAAATATCATATCATATAAAATTTTGTTTCGTTATAACAATTTAATTCAAAATATTTTTATTTATGAATAGTGAATAGTACCCGAACAGTGAACAGTGGGGGAATCGATTGAATCGGTACCCCTTTAACAATCTGAAAATTTTGTTTAAAAACGTGGTTACTGTTCATATTACAGTAACTGCTACAGTAATTTCCGAAAATTACATATTAACTTATAAAAACTTAACATTTCCTCACTATAAAAATTCTATTTTTGTTTCCAACTATATTCAACAAAATAAATTAAATATTATTAATTACATGCCACTCTCTATTTCAAAATTTTACAATAGGATGCCTTACTGATATTGAAATATACTCCCCGATGCTCGATGTCACTTTGAACTCTTTATTCCATTACAAACTTTTTACCTACGCGTGAAAATCATCACACGCTAAGTATAAACTTAGTGAGGCAATTAAAACATTTAACATTGTAATACAATTCATGCATGATTTTCAATATAAAAAATCAAATTTCCATAAAATCATTTTACTAACATATCCAATATTTTAACATGATCAAAATAATATAAAATCTCTTACCATTTATTCCATAAGCTCGTAAGCTTATTTTACCAAAATACTTACCATTTAAATTCCATAAGCTCGTAAGCTTATTTTTCCTATATACTTGTCATTATTTCCGTAAGCTCATAAGCTTATTTGCATGGTTACCATTTATTAACCAATAAAACATAATCCATAGCCAATGGCCCAATATTAAACCTTGAGGACCCTGGGTATCCGAGTAATATTTGCACCGTAGTGCTACACATAAGGTCGTGCCCACCATATACACCAAAGTGTATTATAAACCTGCAGCTGCTATACTCTATGGCATGCCAACTATACCCTGTCCCTCAATGACTTACTTGGGCATATAGTCTATTTTATTCGATCCATCCATGGAAAAGTATATTATCAAATTTAACATTGGACAGTTCATACCCGAAAACATTCATGGTAAAATATCACATTTTTTCATGATCAATGCATTTTAATTTCATACTCTGACATCTCAATGTCAATTTATAAAAAATGATATAAAATCATGTCGATATAAACAAGGTCGACTTATCGCAAGTCTTCCTTATGATGTATAAAACATTCATGTATAATTTCATTCATGTATTGCACTCACCTTGACACTTTATATCTTTCAAAATATTTGTGCCTCACTATTGTCCACAATATACCCTTTTTATACTTGAGTTGCTTCAATTGCAAATCAACCATGATCTGTATAAATCACAAATTTATAACAATACATATGTTAGTATTTTACTAACATAAATACATTCCACCATATCTCTATACTATATTTGAAATTCATCATCTATCAAAATATTCAACTCTTAATAATTCCTTATAACATTGGAACCAACTTTTCCAATTTACCCAAAATGGTCTTCACCATTTTACCACTTAAATTCTTAATACCAATAATTCCAACATTGAAATTATTTCCATTCAAATGCTTTTACAAAAGCATAAATACATTTAAGTACCCCAACTATGCAATTATTGTACTTAAATCACCAATCATTTCAATCTTCCCAAAATAATCAATTTCACATCTAACACTCATTTCAATTCTCAAACAACAATTTCCAGCATAGTACATCAATTATACAACACTTACACAACAACTCATTAATTTTCCAGAATTCATACAACTCGCACTACCCTTAAAGAATCATTATTCTATATTGATATAGACACTGAAATTGAATTCCGTTTCTTCCGTTAAAAACTAGACTCGAATAAGAATCTATCCATATAAATAACTCCTTCTAATTCATTATGTACAATTTATGGTGAATTTTCAAAGTTCACCAACAGAATCTGTTTTGTACAGAATTCTGCTATCCGACTTTTCTAACCTTTCCTCAGTTAAAAATTCATATATATTTGTATACAACTTGAAATTGATCCCCGTTTGTTTTAAACAAAACTAGATCCATATATGAACATAATAGATAAAATAACCTCCAAATTATTTTTATATATTTTCTGGTGAATTTTCGAGCCTACTGCCATAATCAAAATCCAAACTGTTTTCTTTAACTTCATCCTTAGGTTCTTCATCAATTCTTACAACCTCAAAATCATCAATAATCATCGTCAATTTCAACAACCATAGTATAAGCCCAAATTTCCAGATTTGAGGATATTTGAAATCAAGCTATATTATCATGCAATATTGGTACCAAATGATAGCGTTTTTCGCAAATAACCATTTTCTATTTTCATCACACTCATAATCCTAAAGAAATTGCTTGAAAATTGAGTTGAAGATCTCTTACCTTTGAAGAAACCCACGCAGCTTTTGGAGGAGAAGATGAACACATTTGGTTGAAATGTCATCTTAATTTACATTTCATTCCACTTTAAATGAATATATTACTCATTTAATTGTGATAAGACCAAAACACCCTTAATGAATCTTCTTATTCACCATCAAACCAAGCCATCTGATTATTAACCTATTACAAAGTCAAATATAAATTATTTTGACTTTTATATCCAAAATTTCCCCTGAATTTTCAAATCTTACGGTTTAGTCACTAAATTCCACTGTTTCGGTTAAATCTGAAAAATTGCATATTTCCAAACCAACTTTCTCTGATCTAAAATATTACAATAATATTTCCAACCATTTTATAACATCCTTCAAATTTTTGTAACATTCCAATTCGATCGGAATTTACCGATTCCTTACCGGCTTTAACTCTTTCTTTACTAAATTCCAAATCCAACAATATGATTTCCATAAAACTCCAATCTCAAGAGTAAACCATATATTTATGGAAAAAATTCTTTTTAGGAAATTATCACTTAATTCCCTAAATTTTTTCCAATCTTTTACTTTGACCATCTAACTTTCAAAATTTACATTTTGGTCATCATCTAGATTTTTGGGGTATTACATATATATATATATATGTCGCGGCCGTCTTTCGGTTGGGCCCTGAATTGGGCTTCGACTTAGGAAAAATGGATTGGGAGTTGCCACCGACCATTTTAAAACGAATTAGGTGGGTCGGGCACCGTCTTACCTGATCTGCGTTGTACTAGAAACGTGTTGGGTTCGGGAGTCGATTACGGTCAAGGAAGGATTAGCACCATTGAACCGCCCTTTCGGTACCAATTAATTTATCGGTTGTCTTAGTTACAAAAATTTAAAATTAAAATTAAAATTTAAAACCCGATTCAAATTGCTTACCTTTGATTGGTTGAAATTCTTCTAACAAAAGGGTCAAGGACGTTAGATAAAAAAATAAATAAATGGGAAAAACATAAAAAAAACTTAGAGTGCCAAATTGAAACAAATCGGGATTAATGGACTAAATCGAAACTAAAAATAGGGAATTCAATGGCCAAACTGAGCCTAATGACCAATTCTAGCAAAAGGCATACTAATCCCCCATTCTTTTATTCAAAGCACGTGAATGAACATAATTAAAGCTCTCAAATGATTGTAAGTCCAACAGTTGCCATATTTGGTCGAGTATTCTATAGCTCCGACACCAGGGCCGTAAACCCTTCCTTTGTTTGTTGAAAAGCTCTTTGAATGGTCTCAGCAGTCACAACTTCCCCCGATTCAGCCACCATTGCTCGAAAATTACTAAACAAGTGATCGCAAACGTAACGTGCCGCCTCGAATCCTCCGTGTCCGTCATAGATTCCGACGAAGGTGCCGAATTGGCCCGACTCAATCTGGCTCTGGTTCTCTAGCACCTGGTTCGCTTGGATCACGGCTACGAAAAATTCACCGGACCCATATTTCCCTATATCACAAAACCAAAGAAACCCATCTCTAACTTCCCTTGAGCCACCGCTACTTCCGCTGCCGCCGCCGCCGAGAACGTTGTTTGTTTCGTTATTTTCTAATTCATTCCCAAACGGGCTCCAGCAAAACGAGAACAGATTCATTAATCCCTCGGTTCTTGCTCTGTGTCATGAATACTCAAGTGTAAACCTTCATCTCCATATTACCAAAGCTGATTCGTTGGAAGCCGCCTCAACCCAGTAGTGAAAGTGAATTTTGACTCGGTCTTCATTGTTGAGGCGTTGGCAGCATATCAAGCGTTGAAATTTGCAGCAGAGAGATAATCAGAGTACACAGCAAGAAGAAATGTTGTTGTTAATGCATATTGCAGATTGTTTCATTCACGAACATACATTAAGCCTCCAGGGGTGAAGAGGGCATTATAGCCATCATTCTTTTGCAAGCAAGCACATAAAGAGTAATCTGCTTTAACCTTCTCCCCTTTTTCTCCATGATTCGTGGTCCCCCATGGCATTTTATAAATAATATATATATATATATATAGGAAGAAAAATGGGTTTTTTTTTGAATTAGTGGGGGTAGTGGCTGCACGATGGAAAGGGAAGTTGTTGGGTTGAGGGGTAGTTTGTTGGAATAATGGAGATAGTGGGTTGAACATGGGACCTGGAAAAAGAAAAAATTAATAAAATTAATAATAATAATAATAATAATAAAATTAATCATAAATAAATAAATAATTTTTTAAAATTTGGACAAAAACGAGTGTCTACAGCTGTCCCTCTTTGCACATTTTTATGTTAATAAGAATAGGGCAAAGACGAAAAAAGACAATAAGTTTTTGTCTGGCCCTCTCAAATGTGATTAGGATTCCTGGAATTGGGCCTTTGTCTTTTTCTCGGTTTAAAGATTTCGGCTTGAAAATTCTTCTAGAAAGTAGTTCATCGCTGTTATCAAGCTGAATGAAATCGAACTCGTCAGTTGACAGATATCCCTTCTCGCCTTGAGCTATGCTGTAAATTTGATTTACCTCTGAGTTTAATGTAATCGAACTCGATGGTCTTTTGTTGGCAGGAGAAAGGTTTTTTTGTGAGAGAAACAATTTCAAAAGGGTTTCTTGTGTTTCAAGAGAAACTGTCTCAAGAGAGACAAAACTTTGTTTCAAGGGAAACTATCTCAAGAGAGACAAAATTTGTTTCAAGGGAAACTGCCTCAAGAAAGATAAAACTTAGTTCCAAAAGAAACTGTCTCAAGAGAGACGAAATTAGTTTCAAGGAAAACAAATTTAAAGATTTTGTTTCAAGGGAAAATTGTCTCAAGAGAGACAAAATTTGTTTCAAGGGAAACTGTCTCAAGAGAGACAAATTTTCTTTCAAGAGAAACTGTCTCAAGAGAAATTTGAGTAAATTAGTCTCAAGAGAGACGACCCCTTGTTTCGAGAGAAACAATCTCAAAGGCGATCGATAATTTGTTTGTTCCTGAAGATGAATGTTGCTGGTGGGTACGATTCCCTTCGTCGTGAAGTTGAAACCGTGGATGGCCCCTTCTTCGTGAAGTTGAGCATTGACTTGAATATCATTTGTAGTGAAGTTGAAATCCAAGCTTGTATTGTTGCTGGTGAGCACGATTCCCTTCGTCGTGAAGTTGAAACCGTGGATGGCCCCTTCGTTGTGAAGTTGAGCCTTGAATTGGATATCATTCGTTGTGAAGTTGAAATCCAATGTAAGTTGCGTTGTTCCGAGGCCAATATCCTTAGCTGTGAAGTTGAAATTGACTCTGAAACTGGAAAGTTTGTTGACAGACACTCCTTCTTTGAGTTAGATATCCTCGCCGTGAAGTTGAAATATAATCTGGAGATGGATACTGCTTGTGTGCACGATTCCCTTCGTCGTGAAATTGAAACCGCGAGTGCCCCTTCGTCGTGAAGTTGAGCCTGGAATTGGATATCCTTCGTCATGAAGTTGAAATCCAAGTAATTGTATTGTTCCGAGTCCAATATCCTCCGCCATGAAGTTAAAATTGGCTCTGGAATTGGGAAATTATTTGTTGACAGTCAACCGCCCCTTCACTGTGAAGTTGAGCTTGTGCTGTCTCGAGTCCAATATCATTTGCTGCGAAGTTGAAATTGGCTATGAAACTGGGAAGTTTATTTGTTGACAGTCAGCCGCCCCTTCATTGTGAAGTTGAGCTTGTGCTGTCTCGAGTCCAATATCCTTCGCTGTGAAGTTGAAATTGGCTCTGAAACTGGGAAGCCCTTTCGTCGTGAAGTTGAGCCTCAAATGGCATGATATCCTCCTTCGTGGAGTTGAAATCGTGGATGTGTGGGTACGATATCCTCCGTTGTGGAGTTGAAATCGTGGATGACCCATTCGTCGTGAAGTTGAGCCTTTACTTGAATATCATTCGTCGTGAAGTTAAAATCCAAGTATTGTATGTTGCGGGTGAACACGATTCCCTTCGTCGTGAAGTTGAAACCGTGGATGACCCATTCATTGTAAAGTTTGGCTTCGAGTCAGATATCCTTCGTCTTGAAGTTGAAATCTACTCTCGAGCAAATTGTGTCGTTTCGAGTCCAATCTCCTTCGCTGCGAAGTTGAAATTGACTCTAAAAGCTGTAAAAAATTATGTATGCTAAAAATGATAAATGTGATGCTCTTAAGTATGTCTAAGATGCATGCAACATGAATGGGTTATATTTTATCTCTTGGATTTGAGTCTCGCATTTTGTCTGCCAATCTGATCCATGGAATCGATCGTGCCCCATTTGCTTCTCGAGTTTTGGATTTACCGACCTTTCATATTTGAAACTGTCATGTTTGAAAATGTTTTTCTCCTTTTTATTGTTTTTTGAGGGAAAGGATAAAAATTATGTAAAATATTGTTCACAATTGAATCAAATTGTAAACATGAGTTCAAAGTATATCAAATGAATCAATAGCTCTTTTTAATGCTTTCAGAGTTATAGCTCTTTGACAAATGTTCAAATGGATGAGTTGACTTCAGGTTGACTTTCTTTCTAAGGTTTCGGTAACCCAAAATGTCATTTTTTGAAATATCGCAACATGCTTTTTCTTTGGTTAGGCATTTTAATTGAGTGCGGACAAAATGACGCAACTAGCATGATCAATTACTAGACCTTTTATTTCAGTCCTCTAAAATCTTCCATTTGTTCAAGTTTTATAAGCTTCTCTAACAAAGGTAGTGCAGAAATATCGGTCTAAAAATGAAATTCTTGAGTGCTCCTGTGTATTTAACTATAACAGGTGTTCCTTAACTCCTTTAGTCCATCATTACCGAAAATTTCTTGTTTAGATAATTTTGATTTAATTTGCCATTATCTGGCTAGCCAAATCCATAAAGCCAGGGCTTTTAACCAATTGCTTTAGATGGAAAGCTTAATATTATAATCACTTTTATCAGGTTAACTGAAGGGTTCATCTCATCACAAAGTCTTCAGCCTGACAATAGCAGTGGAGCAAACACCGAGTAGCCAAGTGTCCGAGCAATGTCATGGTTTGAATGCAATCTATTCATAAAGTTAGGGCTTTCGAGTTTCCTCTATAACCAATTGCCTTAGCGGAATAACTCATTTTTTACGGATTTAATTTCTTAAGATTGTCAAGAAGAACCTGTTATAACCTAAGGTGGCGTTTGGTTGGCATGAATCCCTTGGAATTAGGGGGAATTGGAATCCAATTCCACCACTTTCCCATGTTTGGTTCAAGTTTTCCAAGGGAATTAGAATCCCTCATGGCTTCAACTTTCCATCAAATGAGGGAAAATGAATTCCATCTATTCTATGATGGAATTCAATTCCCTTGTTGGAGGGAATTGAAATTTGATCATACTACCCTAATCAATCTTTTGATAACTTATTCATATATTGAATAAAAATATTTTTTTATTATTTCAGGTCGGGTCGGGTTTCTAATTCATATATTTGGGTCGGGTCGGGTGAAACTTTATTTTGGTCGGGTCGATTTTTTTAAGTGTGATATTTGGGTCGGGTCGAGTTCGGGTTTAGGATGAAAAATACCCGACCCGAAAATATATATAATTTTACCTTATATATTTAGGAATAATTACAATAATACCCCTCTATATATAATTTTTTTCAATTAAGTCATTATTTTTATTGAATATTTTTTTTATTATTATTTCGGGTCGGATCAAATTTCTAATTCATATATTCGGGTCGGGTCAGGTGAAACTTTATTTTGGTCGGGTCGGATCATTTTTTTAAGTGTTATATTCGGGTCGGGTTCAGGTTTAGGGTGAAAAATACCAGACCCGACCCAAAAAATATATAATTTTACCTTATATATTTAGGAATAATTACAATAATACCCCTCTCTCTATATATATTTTCCAATTAAGTCACTGTTTTTATTGAATAAAAATAATTTTTTTATTATTTCGGGTCGGGTCGGGTTTCTAATTCATATATTCGGGTCCGGGTGAAACTTTATTTTGGTCGGGTCGGGTCTCGGATGGAGGTTCCCTTATTCTCGGGTCGGGTGGACCAAAAACTCGACCCAACCCGACCCATGGTCATCCCTAATTGGGATGATTTTAACTTATGATGTTTATTAGCATGATTTTTATAATTTATTAAAATGAATAATCAATCAATAAAATTAAAATTTAATTTTTTAAAATTTTTATAATATATTGCTACTTGTAATTTATAAAACAAACTAAAATTAAGTAAAAAAAATAAGAAGGGCAATCTTGTCATTTTACATTACTGAAATCAAATTCATCTGACATGTCTGTGAACCAAACAGATTATGGAATTGGATTCCAATTCAATTTCCTGCCAACCAAACAGAATATAGAATTGGATTCCAATTCCTGACAGATTTCAATTCCTTCACAGATTTCAATTCCCTCAGAAACATTCCAGCGAACCAAACGCCACCTAAGTGTTGTTAAAAGTCAAGGAATCTCATCTTTGGAGTTCAATTTCCAAGCAGCTGGCCTAAACTAGATTTGCTTACTCGACTATTCCATCTGTGAAGATAATGATCATCATTGAACGTCTTAAACAAAAAGTATAGTAATTTTCATATGCAAATGATGCCCCATGTTATCCGCAACTTATGAAAGGAAAAGTTACATTAGTTAATTGCAAGAGCAAGGTACGGTGTTTGAGTGTATATTCTGGGTAAGGTAAAAAGTCCTTGTTTTAAGTCATGTTACTTTGTCAGAGATTAGTAACTTTGAACCATTTATAGAGCTTCTTAATTTAGTTGATATTCAAAGAATTGCAAGTTTGCAAATGTGATTCATTGCTCGTCATCATTAAAGTAACATAAATTTATTCAAATGTTCTTACAAAAACTTGAGAAAAAATGGAAAAAAAAATAAACTCAAACAAAATGCCTCAAATGATAAAATGATCTGCCTCACTTAGATGCCCCCGAGTTGTTGAAGTCAATCCAATTTTTGTTATGTATTTTCTGTACGATTCTCTTGAATGTGGAGTAGTTCTTGATAGTGCGTCCTGGGACACCGCTATGATATTCACAATGAGCGTTCTCATCATACTACCTGTGGTACAGGGGCTTCATGGATTTCTCTGGATATGATGACACCACATGTGCGTCAAACAATTGTTGGTAAAGCTCCTTATATGTCATAGGATCAAAATGTTCTCATTTTTGATGAGACATGTGAATTTAATAAAAATGAGTAAAGTAATGCGAAATATGCAGGAATGCATGATGCATGCAATATTCGAGGCATTGATCCAAAAAATATGTCTGTTATTAGAAATAATCCGTATTGGAGACAAAGAGTGTTTTATCTTTTAAGAGACAAAAATATCCTGACAATTTCTGATATATTGACTAGTCTTCTGCCTTCTTTTGTCACCGATTGAATAACCTGTCGAACCGCTCTGGCTTCTCTGGATGAACCGTGCAAATGTTGAGTTGCTTTTTATACTGGCCCTAGAAGTCTCGAATGACTGCATATCTAGCATTTATCTTTTGGTGAACCTGTTCCCAACGAATACATCATTGGAGCCCTCAATTGATAGGAACTATGTGAAGTTTATTTGTCTGTTTCTTGAATTCGTCAGCAGGGGTCTCCAATTTCAGCTATCGTTTTGCCATTGTTTTCTTTGAAGAGAATCCCAAGATCAGTAACCTTCATATTGCCCCTGCAACCTGTGCCAGTTAGTTCTTCAAAGATAGACTTTCATTGTGCTTGATGTAGACCCGATTCATTCTGAGTCCTTTAAAATGTAGCAGAGTGATGTACTCTTCAATTATGGGCATCACATCTTCTGGATTCAATGTGACACATAGTCGCCTTATAGATTGTCCTCTGTATTTTCATCTCTTGTATTACAACCCCTTTGTCTATTAATACAGATTATTCATGTTTAACAAACACGTTTTTGGTGGATCAACACCCCTTTTGAATGAATGTTGCAAAAGATGAAAATAAAATAAAATAAAGCAAAAATGAAAAGAGTTAGTGAAAAAATAATCAAAACAGTTATGAAAATAAAAGTCCTACCCCACATGATATCTACCCCACATGCTTATTATTCATATTCGTACATGATCTTTATCCCGCATGCTAAAATCCTAACCGCATATTTGTCTAGTTCGCATGCTTTGAACAGAAAGTAAAGCAGGAAACAATTCAAGAATCCTAGGTTTTGAAATGCGTTTTTGGGGTGGGCTCTAATTCTCCATAGTCTCCCGGTTTAGGTTATAAAAAACGGTACCCGATTTCTCCTTGCTGGCACTCCCTTGGCCTTACCAGACCCTTAGTCTTAAACCCATCACTGCTTGTGTGGACTAAGTTAAACTCGAGAGGACACATTCCCTTATGTTTATGCGGTGAATAAATTCATATGAAGACATAAGTTATATGAATCCCGAAGGCTACTTGCTAGGTCTATGCGGTGAATAAATTCACATGAATGCATCGCTTTCACCCCCACTTATATATGGTTCGGAGCTCGGGTATAGAGCCAGAGATAGAAACTTTTCAAAAATATGAAATCATTGAAAAAAAAAATATCAGTACAACTATTTATTTGAAAAATAATCAAAGGTAAATAATTGGAATCGAATAAATAAATTAAAATTAAAATTTACCATTTTCGCATAAAAAGACAACCGGAAATTAATTTCGGCTTGACTCACTTACATGTCCCCAGCAAAGTCGCCAAACTGTAGCGACCACATTTCGATTGGGCCCCGAAATTGGGCTTTGACTTAGGAAAAATGGATTGGGAGTCGCCACCGACCACTTTAAAACAAATTTAGGTGGGTCGGGCACCGTCTTACTTTATCTGCGTTGTACCAGAAACGTGTCGGGTTCGGGAGTCGGTTACGGTCAAGGAAGGATTAACACCCTTTAACCGCTCTTTCGGTACCAATTAATTTATCGGTTGTTTTAGTTGCAAAAATTTAAAATTTAAAATAAAATTTAAAACCTGATTCAAATTGCTTACCTTTGATTGGTTGAAATTCTTCTAAAAAAAGGGTCAAGGACGTTAGATAAAAAAATAAATAAATGGGAAAAAAACATAAAAATAAAAAAACTTAGAGTACCAAATTGAAACAAATAGGGATTAATGGTCTAAATCGGAACTAAAAATGAGCTGCATGAGAAAAAAAATAAAGAGATAGATGGGTTAAAAATAAAAAATGTAAATTATAAATAGGGACCAAATTGAATAAATTGAGAATTCAATGGCTAAATTGAGCCTAGTGACCAATTCTAGCAAAAGGCATACTAATTCCCCATTATCTTGTTCAACGCACGTGAATGAACATAATTAAAGCTCTCAAATGATTGTAAGTCCAACAGTTGCCATATTTGGTCGAGTATTCCATAGCTCCGACACCAAGGCCGTAAACCCTTCCTCTGTTTGTTGAAAAGCTCTTTGAATGGTCTCAGCAGTCATAACTTCCCCCGATTCAGCCACCATTGCTCGAAAATTGTTGAACAAGTGATCGCAAACGTAACATGTCGCCTCGGGTCCTCCGTGTCCGTCATAGATTCCGACGAAGGTGTCGAATTGGCCCGACTCAATCTGGCTCTGGTCCTCTAGCACCTGGTTTGCTTGGATCACGGCCACGGAAAATTCACCGGACCCATATTTCCCTATATCACGAAACCAAAAAAACCCGTCTCTAACTTCCCTTGAGCCACCGCTACTTCCGCTGCCGCTGCCGCCGAGAACGTTTTTTGTTTCGTGATTTTATACTTTATTTCAAAACGGGCTCCAGCAAACCGAGAACAGATTCATTAATCCCTCGGTTCGTGCTCTGTGTCATGAATACTCAAGTGTAAACCTTCATCTCCATATTACCAAAGCTGATTCGTTGGAAGCCGCCTCAACCCAGCAGTGAAAGTGAATTTTGACTCGGTCTTCATTGTTGAGGCGTTGGCAGCATATCACGTGTTGAAATTTACAGCAGAGAGATAATCAGAGTACACAGCAAGAAGAAATGCTACTGTTAATGCATATTGCAGATTGTTTCATTCACGAACATACATTAAGCCTCCAGTGGTGAAGAGGGCATTATAGCCATCATTCTTTTGCAAGCAAGCACATGAAGAGTAATCTGCTTTGACCTCCTCCCCCTTTTCTCCATGATTCGTGATCCCCCATGGCATTTTATAAATAATATATATATATAGGAAGAAGAAAAGTGATTTGGTTTGAATAAGTGGGGTAGTGGCTGCACGATGGAAAGGGAAGTTGTTGGGTTGAGGGGGTAGTTTGTTGGAATAATGGAGATAGTGAGGTTGAACATGGGATCTGAAAAAAGGAAAAAATTAATAATAATATTAATAATAATAATAATAAATCATAAATAAATAATTTTTTAAAATAAAAAAAACGAGTGTCTACAATATATATATATATATATATATATATATATATAATACTTAATGTGCACAAATCAAACAAACTATATCTTAAAAAAATTATTGTTATTACTTGAGATTTCAATTTTGAGCATAAAAAATGCTATAAGTGTGAGTGTTAACTATTAAATAATTGATAGTTATCTTTGATAAATATTACTTTGTATTTATTTCATATTAATAAAATACAGTATTATATTTAGGGATGGGTATGGGACTCGAACCCGACGGGTTCGACTTGACACGATCGATCCTGTCAGATCATTTTTTTAATTTGGGTTCAGGGTTAAAAATAACGACCCGGCCCGAATCCAAAAAAAAATAATTTTAACATATATATTTAAGAATAATTACAATAATACCTCTATATATATTATTTTTTCAATTAAATCATTACTTTTATTGAATAAAATAGTATTTTTAATTATTTCAGGTTGGGTCGGATCGGGTTTTATCTCAAAATGTCGGGTCGGGTGGAGGGTATATATTATGTGGGTCGGGTCGGATTTCGGGTGAAGAAGTCATTGTTCTCGGGTCGGGTCGGATGGACCAAAAGCCCGACCCATGATCATCCGTAACCATATATGGAAGTGTTAAATATAAATAGTCAAGTGCACAAAACCCCGATTACATGCTAAATTATGTTCTTTTTCAAAAGATTGTATTAGTAATTTTTTAAGATATTTATTAAATTGTGATTTTGTTTTTAGGGGAAGATTCAGGCACCGTGACTTGAGATCAATTCAACGCTTATATTCAATTTGAGACCATCTAAGTAGTAATGAAAATCCACTTAAACTATAGTGAAATAGAATTATATTCAACATTGGCTCCCATTTTCTTTTTATTTCAAATTTCATTCGTGACTTCTTCACTAAAAAACAGCTAACATTCAACAAGACCAATGTTTGAATAAATTGTTAATTAGTTTCCTGTTTAGTGTTTGCCAAGTATTAGCATAGTAGCTCATCACATACATCAATTTTAATTACTTTTTTAAAATTTAGGTTTAATCTTTTTAATCGTTGATTAAATTTTAGTTCGATTGTTATTTTTTTTAAATTATTAATTCAAACATGTCTAAATATTTTATCTTTATTTAAAAAAATGCAATTAATTATAATTTCTGTTTTACATCAACTATTGTTAAATGGCGGAGGTAAAAGCCGAAAGCCTAGAGCTCGAGAACAAGATCTTCTAGAAGCTGAAACAAATCTGGAATGCCAGATGGTCAGCATGCACAAAACCATGTTAACACAACACACCATCTTTATATGAAATCAATTTAAAATACACAAGTCTCCAAAAATAGATATAATAAAATTATTATTTCACTAAAATTTATATAAAGTATGATAAAAAAATAATTTCTAATTTCTAATTTCTAATTTCTAATTTCATTGTTCAGATCCGTTTTTAGTATGATATAACTCATTCCACACACGAGTCGATCTTTAGTTTTCCTTTCAAGATGAAAGCCAAGAGCTTTCGTCGAAATAATCGGGAAGAAGGGAAGCGTTGTTGGAAGGTAAAGAGGTTCATCGGGAAAAGTAAAAATTAAAATTTATTTTTTAGATCTACGTGAATTGGCTTTGTTTTGAGATAATCTGGCGTCGATTTCTAGGGATTGAGGGTTTTCGAAAGAGGTGACTTTGGTTTTTCGAGCGACGGCAAAGATGCATAGAGTGACTGGCTAAATGCCGATCGGTTTTTGGGGAGAAGATTTGAAGATATTGTTTTTGTCTTTTTTCGGTTTTGGGTTAAATGATAATATTTTTGGTTTTTTTTGGCTATTTATAACCGAGGGACATGTGTGTAATTAGCTAATAGTTTAATTATTTCCACAGTCCCTGTAAGTTTGATGTGTAATTTATTTTGGTCACATGTTGTAATTTTATCTCTGAATTTTCAATTTATTCAATTTAATCCATGTTTACATTTCTTATATTTTGCAAATTGCCCCTAACTTTTTATTTTTCTCTTGCAACTCATTTTTAGTACCAATTTAATCCATCAATTTCAATTTATTTCAATTTGGTCCTTTAAATTTTTAGTTATTCATTTTTTCCTTTTAAATTTTAGCATTTTTTATTTTTGTTATTCATTTTTTTCTTTTTAATTTTAGTATTTTTTTATTTGTTTTATTTTATTTTATTTTACTTACTTATTATTATTATTATTTTATTACTTTTAAAATTTAATTTTTTTTATTTAATATTTTTTTATCTTTATCTTTTTTCCTTTGATTTATTTTTTATTTTTTTATTTTTATTTTATTTTTCTCCCTCTTTGATTTATTTAATATTTTTTTTAAATCTAACATTTTTTACTCTATTTAGGGATACTTTTAACCAATCCAATTTAAGTAATTTGAATCGAATGTTTTAAATTTCAATTTCAATTTTCGCATCTAAGACAACCGGCAAATTAAATGGTACCGAAAGGACAGTTCAAGGGTGTTAATCATTCCTTGACTGTAACCGACTCCCGAATCTGACATATCTTTGGTAAAATACAGATCATGTAAGATAGTGTCCGATCAACCTAAATATTACTTTTAAATTATCGGTGGTGGCTCTAACACTTTTATTTCAAGTCGAAACCCAATTTCAAACTCACCTAAAAGACGGTTGCGACAGTCAATTTGAGCGTATGATAGTGCAAACCGACAACAATTGCCTACTCTCTGCTTCATCCATAGACATCCCTTCCGCGCTAGTGAGGTCCATCACTCATCTTTGCAACAAGGGTTGGTTCACTGAGTTCAAGAAGGTTTATCGTGAGCCGAATAAAGTGGTCGATTTTATCGTAAAAATGGACCCTCCCACAAATGGTTCAGTTATGGTATTTGATTCCCTTTTGCCTCAACTTTTGGATATCATTCATAGAGACACTCATGGTCCTTCCTTCCTTCGAGTAAGATCCTAATACAATGACTCTGCCCTCTTTATAAAAAAATTCTCCAACGCCTTAAATAAACAAATTTATTTTCTCACTATCATATCCCAACAAATTTACCCAAAAATAGATATTAAATCATTTTTTAATTACCGCCGGCTTGACAGGGTTGCAACTAATCAATAACAATTTCCAGTTTTGGCAAAGCAACATGTCGTGGAACCACTTGTAATAACCATTTATGAAAATTTCCCGGATTCATTTAACTAAGAAGGGATTTATAAAGGGATGAAGCAACTTGGGTGAAGGGCCTGGATTCCGACAAACTTGGTTCAGCCCCCCACCAATCTAAAATATGTTGTCCAATTAATGTCCCAAAACGTAAAACCCTATCCATTTGTCTGGTTCTATGCCAATATACAAATGTTAATGCATCTGTCAGTTACTGAATTTGACGAATGGTCGTATTAACAAGACTCTTTACTGATGGGATGGCTATCATATAAGTTGATATTATTGGAATTTTATCCAAACTTAATCTTTTAACTTCAGCTCCTACAGTTGATTAAGCATTATTATAATATTTAAGACATTATAAAATTAAATATTTTTTATTTAAAAGTTAAGAATTACATCGAATTTAAATCTTATAATTTGTACTTTTATAAGAAAATTTAAATTTAAAAGTTAAGAACTGAAATTTAAATTCAAGTTTGTCCATGAGTGATACTTCACCCAAATATTAGTAAATCGCGTAATGATTATTGTACCAAAAAGTTTACAATAACTTTAAGGGTAAATTTTGTATTGAGTACTTAAACTATTAGTTTTGGTCTGTTTTAGAATTTAAATTTTTATTTTTTTAAATCATTTCTAATATTTAATTTTTGTTTCATTTTAGTACATCATCATTAAAATTTTAAGGCATTGTATTTTTATAGATGAATTACATTATTCATCAATCAACTATCTTATCACTCCTATTTTGGTACTAAAGTTTAAATATTTTCAATTTAACTACTCAACTTTCAAATTGCTTCTATTTTAATCGCTCTAATTTATTTTATTAATAGCTTTTGTGACATGATATTTTTTATTATTTTATTAATATATAACTAAAAATAAAAAAATTGAAAGTTATGGCGATTAAATTAGGAGAAATTTGAAAGTTAAGTAATTAAATTAAAAAAAAAACTAAATTTTAGTGACCAAAATAGGAGTGAAAAGATAGTTGAGTGATGAATGATGTAATTTACCCATAAAAAGGTGCAATCGCATGTAAATCACCCATTAAAATTTTAACGTGAGGTACTAAAACGATATAAAAATTAAACATTAGGTATGATTTTGAAAAAAGTTTAGGTACTAAAAGAGACCAAAATTGACAGTTTAAGTACTAAACGTATAATTTAACCTAATTTCAGTTAATAATTTAATTTTAATATAATTACACTCTTTGGTTCTAAAAATGAGAGATGAAAATTGATGTAATTACACATATAATTATATTATTCAAATTTATATTTAATATTAATTTAATTTTTTTAATTAAGAAAGGAGACTATTACAAAGAAATACTAAGTGCGGAGGGAGGCAGGACCATAGAGGTCACGGTGGAGAATAGATATAATCTCTTGGGGGGGTTCTATGTAGGTCTGAACTTGTTCATTTGTAGTAACAGTAGATTTAGCAAGGAAATCTGCTGCAGCATTGGCTTCACGCTGAATGAGGATGAATTCAATCGTCCATTGCTTTGAGATGAGAGTTGCAATAGAGCGAACAAGGGTGATGGGGCTGCAACTAGCCATTGGCGAAGATACGAGATTAAGAGCTTCGGCACAGTCGGTTTGGCATTGAAGGCGTGTGATATTAAGGGAGATCGCCAATTGAAGACCTTCAAAAATTCCCCAAAGTTCGGCTTGAAGAGGCGTTGAAATTCCAACCGGTTTATTAAAGCCAATGATCCAGTCACCATTCGTATTCCGGATGGTGCCACCCACCGATCCGTAAGAGGAAACTTTATGAACCGCTCCATCCGTGTTAAGAGTAGACCAGTCTGGGGGCGCTGGCTTCCATTGCACAAGTTTTGGTCGAGCAGCAACAGAATCTGTTGGAGTAATGGTATTTGCTTCGATGATATAAAGGGCCCAATTTTTGCTAAGACAGAGGAGTTGGTCATTATGGATAAACAAATTCGAGAATATGCATGCATTTCGCCTCTTCCAGATCTGCCATGCAATGGAGGAGAAAAGTACCTTCCATGGGATGCTTGTGCCAGCAAAAAGGTTGTTTGATTCAAGATTCATCACGAGCCAATCAGAGGCGTTAGTGAAGAAGAAGTTCGGTAGGGGCTGCTATCGGATAATCTACTGCCAAAGTGCTGAAGAGTGCTGGCAGTCACGTAAAACATGAAGAGTAGTTTCATTAGCTAAGCCACATATTTGACATAAAGGATCATCCGTAAGTTTCCTTACACATCGATTGACATTCGTAAGCAAGCGATCTTTGTATGAAAGCCATAGAAAATTTTTAAGACGCTCTGGGATGGTCATACACCAAAGCTTAGTCCATATTGCGTCTTTGGGGTCCCAAAGATCCTTGGCTATAAGATCATATGCAGATTTTACTGTGAACTCACCATGTTTTCCTTGAGACCAGCAACATCGATCCCTACCAGATGTCAGGTTAGGGGGTTGAACGTTCAGCAGATGCAAAATTATGGAGGGCTGGAGTGACTGCCGGAGTAGATTCCAGTTCCAATTACCATTTGGCAGGGCAGCTTCGCAGACTAGCATATTGTCTTCAATCGAAACATGATATAGTTTCCATTCTGATAAGCGTCCAAGATTTGGCATCCAAATGTCATGCCAAAATTTGATCACAGTTCCATCGCCTATAGACCAAGATAAGAAGCTGTAGAAACTATTCCAGACTTTGGATAAGGACCTCCATAAGTGGGAGCAATTCGGTCGGAATATGGAGGGGGGCAGTTGGAGAGAAGCTTATACTTTTGACGAAGAAGCTTTATTTAGTATTTCTCCGTATCCGAAGCAATAGCATAACATAGTTTCATATGGAAGGCAGAGTTATGATGTTGTAGCCTCCGAATGCCGAGTCCTCCATTATGCCTAGGTTGAGATAAGGTATCCCAACTGACGAGGGGGATGCCTCGGTTTTGATTACTAGAACTCCAAATGAAATGTCGAACTAGTTTTTCAATATCGTGACAAACACGAGAGGGGAAGCGGCAAGTTTGCATGAAATAAGTTGGGATAGCCATGAGTACGGAGTTAGCGAGGGTAATCCGTCCTGCAAAAGATAAGGTTTTAGCCGACCACCCATGGAGCTTTGATTTTATTTTATCAATAATGAAGTTATAAAAATCACAAGTGGCTTGCTTATGCATCACCGGCATTCCAAGATAGACTCCCAAGTTAGGAACTTGTTTGATGCCGAGATGAGAACAGACTGTATTTGCTGATTCTACACTTGTGTTGGGCGAGAAGTAAACATGGGATTTGAGCTTGTTGACTTTGTGGCCCGAGTAACGACCAAATTCCTCCAGAATGTTGTCAATTAGAATTGCATACGCTGCAGTTGCTTTGGCATACAATATTAAGTCATCTGCAAAGAATAGGTGTGTGATAGGAATACATCCACGAACTAACTTAAATGGTTTCCAAGCGCCCTCCTCGGAAGCAAGATGAATGCGATGCCCAAGTCTTTCCATGGTAAGAACAAAAAGGTAAGGAGAGATTGGGTCTCCTTGTCGAACTCCGCATTGTGGTTTAAAATCATTGTTAAGCCCTCCATTAAATTGGACCTGCATAGAAGAAGATGAAATACAATGTAAGATGAGTCGCTTAATTATCGGTGGGAAGCCTGCTTCGGAGAGTGTATCGGCTATGAAGTCCCAGCGAAGATGATCAAAAGCTTTTTCCAAGTCCACCTTTATCGCCATCCAACCTTCTTTGTCCTTTTTGGATTTCATGGAGTGGATAACCTCCTGATTAATAATGATATTTTCGGAGATGCTACGGCCTTGAATGAAGCTGGTTTGATTAGGCGCGACAAGTCGAGGCATAATTTGCTGAAGACGCTTGACAATGATCTTAGTGACCAACTTATATAAGACCGTACAAAGACTGATAGGTCGAAAGTCCTTGAAGCTCGAGGGATTTGGGATTTTGGGGATAAGGGCAAGAATTGTTTTGTTCAAAAGGGATCAATATTATTACCACTGAAAATGTTTTTGATCGTAAAGCAGACTGAAGCTCCAACGATGTCCCAATGTTTCTGATAGAAGTGTGCGTGTACACCATCAGCTCCTGGAGAGTTGAGTGGAGCCATATCAAATAGCGCCTCCTTTATTTCCAATAAGTTTGGCATCAATTCTAGCTTTTTCGTTAATTCAGGGGGAAGAGTTGGGAAACACCCCGAAATAGGATAGGTGCCATGTTCTTCCTCACAAGATGAAAATAGTTCCTGGAAGTAAGAGTTGGCTTCTTGCTGAAGAGTATTAAGGTTTGAGCACCAATCTCCAGTTGAGATTTGAAGAGAGTAAATTCTATTAGCTCTCCTGTTTGTAATGGCTTTTTTATGAAAATAAGCTGTGTTTCTGTCGCCAAATGATATCCAATACGCACGAGATTTTTTCTTCCATAAGAGCTCCTCTTGATCAAGGATTAATTCAAGTTCAGCTTGAAGCTTAGTCTCAAGTTGCAAGAGATAAGCACTGTGCTTTTTATCTAGATATCGTTGGATGCCCTTAGACGCCCCAAAATGTTGCGCTTGCGGTGAGAAAGCTGCCTAAAAGAGTGCTGGTTCTAGATTTTGGCAGCGCTACTGAATTTAGAGATAGCTTGTGTAATTGGTAGTGAAGAATTCCAGTTATCGGGCACAAGTTTATGGAAATCTTTGTGGAGAGTCCATCCCGCAAAGTATCGAAATTGACTTTGATGCCACTTATTGGAGTTTTTTCCAATAGAGAGTAAAAGTGGTCTATGGTCGGACTTCATTCTGAGAAGGTGATAAACCAATGTATCAGGATATGCATCAAGCCATTTGTCGTTGCATAAGCATCGGTCGAGGCGAACGGCACAGGGTCCTCTATACCAAGTAAAGTCAGGTCCTTGATAACCAAGATCATGTAGACTTGAATCAAAGACAACATTACTGAAATCTTGATCCGATACAGGGATACTAACACAACCTTTTCGATCATTTGGAGATAATGCTGCATTAAAATCGCCTAGGATAACCCAAGGCTCGTTAATATGATTGGAGAGTAATTGGAGATAAGACCAAAGAGTTTTCCTTTTGGCAGGGTTTGGACTTGCGTAAACAAAAGTAGCGAGAGCGGAATGGTTGTTGGACTTACAGTGGATTCTGCAGTGGACGAATTGAAAGTGACTGAAAAGAACATCTATTTGAATGTGATCATACTAACAGATCCAAATGCCTCCAGAAAAACCATCAGCTTCTACTCTAAAAGAGTTTGGAATTTTAAGTTGAGCAATAACTCTGTCAGCGACATGTTTACTTATACGGGTTTCAACGAATCCTACAACATCCGGAGAATGATCTCGCATATATTGCCGGGTAACGCGATTGAAATTCCGATGGCCACAGCCTTGAGTGTTCCACATAAATATGTTAAGATTCATAAGTAAAATAGAGTGTGAAGAGAGTGGGCATAAGATCCCATTATTCTATCACAGCTCCAGTTCCTTTGCTCGTTGCAGAAGAAGCTAGCACTTCGGTTGGGATATGGGGATTATCTCCATCTACTAGTTTTACAGCTTGGTGCTTGTTCGGGTCAAGGTTCTCAATCAAGTTCAAACGTGACAAATTGGATGAAGAAGCTCGACTAGATGCATTACGTGATCCATGCATGGGAAGTTTAGATAATACATGCAATTTGGCGGGCTTACTTCCGAGATGAGTTTGCTTCTTGAGGCCGGAAGGGACAGTTGTGGCTTTTTTTGGGTTTGCTAGAGCCTTATCCTTCGATTTGTTTTTGTCTGTGTGGGTCAAAGGAGATGTTGTAGGGGGTACTGTGGGTTCCACTTCGATCACCCTAGATTTTGGGTGATTTTCCTGATTATTGGGGACAACTTCAAAAATGGGATTTGAATTTGTTATAATGGGGCTAGAATCATGGACCGACTGCTTTGTAGAATTAAGATTCCTTGAATTACGTTTTTCCTTTCTACGAGCATCCATGGCCCGAATGCTTCATCCGAGACTGAATTGTCTATCGTCAGAGGCTGCACCGGATGAACCTCAGACGCTGGTTGAACTTCTTCTTGTACTGGTAATTGCGGACAAATGTCTTTATGGTGACCGTAAATGCCACAATGGAAGCAAACAGTAGGAAGAGACTCATACTCTATGATTTGAAGACGACCATTGATGAGGAGTTTGGATACCAAAGGCCGATGGAGATTGAGACTAACGGCTAGGCGTGCAAAATGCCCCCTGCAAACATTATCCGTTTGGAAATCGATTTTGATCACAGAGCCAACCTGGTTTCCAATAGCTTCAATGAAACTCCTTTTGTATAGGGTGACTGGGAGTCCCGCTAATCGAATCCATGCCATGAGACGGCTAGGATAATCTTGGCTCGGCTGAAAATCAAGAGACCATGGCTCAACTGTTAAGTAATGCCCGAAAATAGTCCAAGGTCCTTCTGTAAGTACCTTCAAATAGTCACCATAATTGCTGAATTTCACAAGGAAGTAGTCATTCTCAATATCTATAAGTTTGAGAGGGAAGGAAGGCTTCCAGATACTATATATGCGATTGTACAGGGTATTGTAACCCACTCTTCGACCAAGAACTTTAACTACGAGTGTTAAATCCATGCTTTTAACGGCCAATGATTGGACTCTTTCTGAAAAATCTATGGTTAGAATCCCGTTAGAGAAGCCGAGAGTGATATCCTCTTTAAGTAGTTCGATATCATCATCATCTAGATCGATCGTTTTAGGATCTGGGTGAGCAACAGTAGATTTTATCACATCGTCCTTATAAGAAATAGCATGTGGGGAACCATCGCACTCCATTAGAGTAGTGGCACCATCGCTTGCTATGGTGGAAGAGTCAGGCGAGTCTTCATCTCTACGTCTTTGTTTTTTGGGGAGTCTGGCATCGGCGGAGGGAGCTTCAGAGGGTTTCATACTTTTTATTTTCGGTCCCTTAACTATTAATTTAAAATTTAAACGTAAGTAAATGTGTAATTATAATTTATACTATGAAATATGAAAAAGTTAATTAAGATATAAATACACAAAACGAATAAAAAAAGATAATGGGTTTAATTGTCTAATGCCCCTCATAGTTTTTAATGACTTTGTCGATATGTAATTCAATAAAATCTGCATAGAAAATATAGCTAACAAAATATATGATCAATCTAATAAGTGTAAATATAAGACAATACCAGTTAGAGTATTTCCAATAGAGTCTCATTCTAGAACATCATATGTCTTATGTAGAATTACATCAGTAATCATTCAACATTAGACCGGTTTATTGTTTAATAGATCTTCAGATATCTCGATATTGTAATTTAATCTTCAGAAGACTCGCCATCTATTATCTATCCATCATTATATTAGTGTTTATGTTTTTATGGTCATTTTTTATGATCTAAGCAAGGTCTTAAATATTATTTTAATTAATTTGAAATAATAAGATAATGAAAATATAATTATAATTAAAATGATAAAATATAATTATAATTAAAATGATAAAAAATAAAAGTTGAAAATTGCATCATCCAAGATTCGGCCTATATAAATAAATTAGCTTGGTTTATTTAGTTATATATTCTCTAGATAATGCAGCAATTTAATTCCTTGTCCGATCCAAATGTCTCGTGGCTATTTGTTTAGAACAGCCACCTAGAATTGAAGCAATACCTAACTTTGTAATATTGTACGTCTCAATTCTAACAGCCACTTCTCACCAAACCTGTATTTTGCATATACTTCAACTTAAATGAGTAAACCAATTCCAAATTCCTTTTACTCTATCATTACTTGATGAATTTTACATAAACTATTCAATTTATTAATAATATTTGCCTGGAAATTTAGTTATCGTTATCCCAATGATTGAAGAGGGGATCGACAACAAAGATGGCCTTCTAGAAGCTATCGCACGTGCTAACTAATAACACCTAGGCAGATAATGCTTATACAAATTAGGGACCAAAGATTGAAGTTGGGTCGGTTCCTTTCCTCAGTCTCCGTCGTCCGATCTTTTCAGTTGATGGGTGTTTGGACAAATCGGATAGATCATGACCCCACATAATAGGTATAGTACAACTACATCTATATGCCTCATATAATCTATTCTCCAACAAATAAATTGATTTGTACCTATTTTAAAAAATTCATATCTAGAGGTAGTTGAATTTTAATTTAATTACTATAAAATTTTAAAATTTTAAAATAATTTAGGTATTGTATTATTTAACTGATACAATGTTAGTTTTCTAATTTAGTTCACACATTACCACCAATTTAAATGCATAATATTTTCATAAAATAATGTGATTAGCTAGGGAGATATAAAGTTAAAAAAGGGTATGATTAATGTCTTTTATGAAAAAAAAATATTTGATAATGTCACGTATTAATCTTCTAGAAACCTTGGTACGTACGATAAGTGTGGGGTCTTAATTTGTGCGAAGTAGGGCAGTTGCTTAGCTGATGCCGATGTCTTTGCCTCTGCCTCGTGGTAAGAGAGGACGGGGACCAGATCCAGACTCAGGCTACCTACGTAAAGATAATATAAATATTGTTTAAATATATATATTTATTTTAAATTTTAAATAATAATAATGAGTAACATATTAAATTTATATGAAATATATAATATTATAAATTTAGTTCGAACATGCATATATATAATACTTAATGTGCACAAATCGAACAATCTTTGTATTAAAAGAATTGTTATCATATTTAAGGATGAGCATGAGACTCGAACCCGACGAGTTCCGACTTGACACAACCGACCCGGTCAGGTCGGTTTTTTTAATTCGGGTTTGGGTCGGGTTTGGTTTTAGGGTGAAAAATACCGACCCGGCCCGAATCTAAAAAAAAATAATTTTAACATATATATTTAAGAATAATTATAATAATACCCCTATATATATTATTTTTTTCAATTAAATCATTGTTTTTATTGAATAAAATAATATTTTTAATTATTTCAGGTTGGGTCGGATCGGGTTTTATCTCAAAATGTCGGGTCGGGTGGAGGGTATATATTATGTGGGTCGGGTCGGATTTCGGGTGAATGAGTTATTGTTCTCGGGTCGGGTCGGATGGACCGAAAGCCCGACCCATGATCATCCGTAACCATATATGGAAGAGTTAAATATAAATAGTCAAGTGCACAAAACCCAGATTACATGCTAAATTATGTTCTTTTTCAAAAGATTGTATTAGTAATTTTTTAAGATATTTATTAAATTGTGATTTTTTTTTTAGGGGAAGATTCAGGCACCGTGACTTGAAATCAATTCAACGCTTATATTCAATTTGAGACCATCTAAGTAGTAATGAAAATCCACTTAAACTATAGTGAAATAGAATTATATTCAACATTGGCTCCCATTTTCTTTTTATTTCAAATTTCATTCATGACTTCTTCACTAAAAAACAGCTAACATTCAACAAGACCAATGTTTGAATAAATTGTTAATTAGTTTCCTGTTTAGTGTTTGCCAAGTACTAGCATAGTAGCTCATCACATACATCAATTTTAATTACTTTTTTAAAATTTAGGTTTAATCTTTTTAATCGTTGATTAAATTTTAGTTCGATTGTTATTTTTTTAAATTATTAATTCAAACATGTCTAAATATATTTATCTTTTTTTTTTTTAAATGCAGTTAATTATAATTTCTGTTTTACATCAACTACTGTTAAATGGCGGAGGTAAAAGCCGAAAGCCTAGAGCTCGAGAACAAGATCTTCTAGAAGCTGAAACAAATCTGGAATGCCAGATGGTCAGCATGCACAAAACCATATTAACACAACACACCATCTTTATATGAAATCAATTTAAAATACACAAGTCTCCAAAAATAGATATAATAAAATTATTATTTCACTAAAATTTATATAAATTATGATAAAAAAAATAATTTCTAATTTCTAATTTCATTGTTCAGATCCGTTTTTAGTATGATCTAACTCATTCCACACACGAGTCGATCTTTAGTTTTTTAACATCTTTAAGTTTTAACTCAAGTTTAATTTATTAAATAACATTTAAAATATTTATACTTATATATTAAAATAGTTACTTAAATTTGATTTATTTGATAACTCAAATTTAACTAAAAATAATTAAAACTAAAATCAAATTCCTTAATATTGTAAAATATAAAAATAATTGGATGATACAATCTACGTTTCTACCTTTGACCCATAAAGAGGATCGCCTCACTCTCTCCCATCGTGTACAAGCAGAAACCAAAAGAATCCTGTTATTTTCATGGTCATTTTATTCATTTTAGGCGTCCCTTGATACTTTCCCAATGTATCCAATTGCAACCGTCTCTTCTCCTTTTACAGTTAGAGTCGTTAACAGTAGCTCTCCGGTTCCTCGAAGGTCATTTTATTCATTTTAGGCGTCCCTTGATACTTTCCCAATGTATCCAATTGCAACCGTCTCTTCTCCTTTTACAGTTAGAGTCGTTAACAGTAGCTCTCCGGTTCCTCGAATGACTAATACAGCGATCGTTAGAAATTCGGTGCGGGTCGTGGCTGCGTCTGTTAAGTGTGCCTACGCCGCGGAGAACAAGGTGGCGGGACACTTGTACGAGATTCTTCGGGTGGAGAGAACGGCGACGTTCAATGAGATCAAGACGGCATACCGGAGCTTGGCCAAGGTTTTCCATCCAGACGCGACGGGATCTCCATCGGACGGCCGTGATTTCATAGAGATACGCAACGCGTACGCAACGTTGTCGGATCCGACAGCAAGGGCCATGTATGATATGTCGTTGGTGGGGAAACGTCCGAGGCGGGTCAGGAATCGGGTTTACCCGACTCGAAGATGGGAAACTGATCAGTGCTGGTAGAACATTGACATTTGACAGAGGAATCTGTTTCTGCCACAAACCCTTTTTTTTTTCTTTTTAATCTTCAGCCGAGGCAATCCATAGTAAGACCAAATCAAAAGAAAATCTAAGCCACAGGAACTAAAAACCGAATGATATTGTTATGGAAAAATCGAAGCTGGCCTCCATTTGCATGGTTCATTTGCTAGCTTTTGGGAAATCTTCACCAGTGAAGACGAGAAAGGGTTGTGAGTAGCGTTTGGGGGTCAGGACTCGGATTTACCCGAGTTTAAAATCCGAAACCGATTAGTGCTGGTAGTCATTGACATTTGATAGAGGAATATGTTGCTGGACTCAAAATGTAGGAAATTTTCGACGACGTGCATCGCATGTGTTGCCAATGTTGTTAGAAGTTGTGATTTCTAGTACTTTGTTGTCATGTCGCTAATTCAGTAAATACATTTACTCCTCTTTTGGAAAGTTGCGTTTGTGTTTCAGGTAATGAAGAAGATCCTAATTTCAACCAGACAAATTTCTACGGGGAGCGAAGAGATCCTCTAGTCTTGAGAACAAAGGAACTATCTGTAACTTTTAAGTCCACCACCACTGCTTTAGTTCCAAGTATCCCAAATCCCGTTGCAGTATCCTTTACAAGGTTAATTGCTAAACGTACGAACAAGTCATTGTCTGCTAATGTTAGCGACTACAAAGCTAGTAGATAAATGTATTATTAGCTCAGGATAATTTATCTTCATGGAATTAGTTTCCAAAACTTGTGTTGCCCTTGAAGGAGGATTAAGTTTAGTATCAGATCCATCAGGACATTGAAGCGGAAAACCCTTAGTTTAGAATCGGACTTCTTTAGAACCGTTAAAAACTACAAAACCAGAACCGGTTAAATTGAGATATATGATATTTTAGCTTAAATTTGAATTTATTTTTTACCCCAAATTAACAAATTCTTCATCTCAGACTAACCGTTTTAATATTTATAAAGTTTGAACAGAAAATAAAACAAAATCAAAATTCAAAAACAAAAATAAGTGGTAATCCAAGGATAGTTATAGAGAGATTCAGTGCCACAAACCACAAAGTCAAAACGGACATGGTTCGTAAAAGATAACCTACGCAGTTGGTCATTTAATTAGAAAATTCTTTTTACTTCATTCATCCAAATTCAAAAAGTTATAAACTAACCACAACAATGATCATGTTTTCATTTTAGTCATTGAAAGTAAATTCCTGTGACGACATGTACCACCAAATGATTAAATAAAAAATAGAAATGGAAAAGAATGACACTGAAGATGATATTCAAAATTAAGGGATTGTTTGTTTATTTCAGAATGATTAAGCGCTGAATGATCAAATACTGAATAATTCAGAGGTTCTGTATGAATTAGCTATGGATGTGACATGTTATTTGATAATGACTCTGAATCATTCAGAATGTACTTCCGTGGTGAATCATTCAGCACTGTTTTGCTGAATCAGTTAACACTGAACTATTCAGAGGTGAGAAACAAACAGTCTGAATGCTGAATGGTTCAACATTCAACGCTGAATGGTTCAACATTCAACGCTGAATGTTCTATTCAGAGCCAAACAAACCGTCTTTGGGCAAGACGTTTTCCACTCAAAGACAACCAAAATCCTCCATGTATATTAAGCCCAAGTTGTTCATTTACTCCACTCCACTCCACGTTTTTCTCTCAGATCCAAAAACCTCCTCTTTTCTATTCACGTCTCCCTCACTCTCTTTATAAGAAAGAGACAAACTAAAAACAGAAAAAACAAATCCAGAATCTGGGTTAAGAACCAGAAAGTTTCATTTCCGTGCATAAATAAAAGAAGATGTGTGTTGGGAGGATCTGCTCGTGTTGCATATGTTTGGCAATCATGGTAATTGTGATTGGTACATTGTTTGGTTTTGGTGTATTCAAGAAAGGGTATCATAAGCTCGAAGATTTAAAGCATGATGAATATTATCATTGTGATCCTTCACTCTCTTCTTGTCAAAGGCCTAGCGTCGCCCCCCTTCACTTCTAATTTCTTTCACCTTCTTCTTTGTTATCTTTGTTTCTTTTCCTTTTTTTTTATTTCATATGTTTTCCAGTTGGGATTCATGGATATTTTTCCTATTATTTTTTGTTTATAACGCTGAGAGAACGACGCCGTACCATTGCATGGCCAAAATTTTCATTCAGACGCCACGTTTTCATCATCGGACGGATACATGACGCTGTCGGATCAGATGGTGAGACGGGGATACATTCGAGGCAGGTCAGGATTCGGGTTTACCCGACTTGAAGATGGGAAACCGATTGATGCTGGTAGGGCATTCACATCATGGAGGAATACGGTACTGTTACAAAGTTGTTGTTTTGCTGGGCAAAAACAAAATGTAAGAAATTTTCGACACATACTTTTAAAAGTTGAGAAACACAAAATTCTTATTTAAATTAGAAAGATTAAAATATTATTATATCAAAACACTTGGGAGAGACAAATAAATCCGTCCTGCATATTCTATTTTTTATGAGTTAATTTTTTCAATACATTGGATATTTTTTATATTCATATTCTTTTCATAAATTTTAAATTTAATTTTAATCATATTTAAAGTAATAAAAAAGGCTTTAAATGAGAATAATAGAGTACTCTTAAGAGATAAAAAAATCTATAATCTAAATAAATATAAAATAATAAAGATGAGTAATTTAACCAACTGAAAATGTTTGCTTCCATTGTTTGCTCTTTAAATTCATTTATTCATCATATTTGTTATTAATTTCTATATTTCACGCGAATTTATATTTATTAAACTAATATTCTAGTTACTTTTGTATGAATTAATATCGATATTTTTTAAATTCATGAAATCAAACTCCTACCTTAATTCTGTCAAAAAAGTTATTACTTCAATTTCTATAATTTTATCTTTTTAATATTCTTTTGAAAATTATTATTAGTAAAATATACTTTATTGTCACTCAAAGATGGATTGAGTGAGATAGAAGGGGACCATTGTCCCTAAATATTTATGTCGGAATCGTCTTTCTGTTGAGTTCGAAATTAGGTGGGTCGGACACCATCTTACCTGATATGCGTTGTACTAGAAACATGTTGGGTTCGAGAGTCGGTTACGGTCAAGGAAGGATTAGCACCCTTGAACCACCTTTTCGGTACCAATTAATTTTTCGGTTGTCTTAGTCGCGAAGATTAAAAATTAAAATTAAAATTCAAAGATCCGATTCGAGTTACTTACCATTGATTGACTGGAATTTCTAAAAAAATAGGTTGAAAATGTTAGAGAAAAAACTACATAAATAAATAAATAAATAATAAATAAAATAAATAAATGGTAAATCAAGAGGAATATATATATATATATATATATATATATATATATATGTACATAAATATATAAAAAAATGACCAAAAAAATAAAAATAAAGAAAAAATAAATAAATCAAAAGATGAGAAAAATGAAAGAAAGAAAAATTCAAAGGAAAGGAATAAATAAAAATAGAATAAATAAAAATAGAATAAATAGAATATATATATAAAGAAAAAAGTAACTGCTTAGAGGACCAAATTGAAACAAATTGAAATTATTGGCTTAAATTGGCATTAAATTGAACTGGAAAAGTAAAAAAAAATAAAGTTAGTGGCCAAATCACAAAATATAAAAAATATAAGCAGGGACAAAATTGATTAAATTGGGAATTCGGAGGCGAATTTACAAATGGTGACCAAATTGCAAAGTGATTCAAAATACCAAGGACGATAGAAAGGATTTAAGAATCCTCTATTTGCACTTTAGTCCTCGGTATATAAATACTCAAAATCACTATTCTCCCCTTCATTCTTACCATTTTCTCTGATATCACCCCCTTAAACGAGAGAGAATTCTCTCAACCAGCCTTCCTCGACCAATGGCCGGCCAAATTTCGGCAACCGACGATGGTGGCCGAAAAACCTAAAAACCCTTAAAATAACCCCCTCATTCCCGTAAACCCAAATCCGACGTCCAAATCTCCAAAATCAACCCCAAATAACATAGATCTAGCCTAAAAGGTTCTACCTTTCTATCTTCTCCGTCGGTGACGCTTCGGGTTCCGATGGTCATTTCTTCTCCCATGCCGTTCTTCGCTCTTATTGATGAGAAAGGCTTCGACTTTTTCGTTTCTGTTGATGTATATGTATTTTGCTTCGATTTTTTGTATACAGCTTTGTTGGTTTCGATTTGCTGGCAGTTTGTCTTGGTTGCTATGGTTTATTTTGGTTTGTTGTTTTTTTGGTATTTTGCGGTTCTGTTGGTTCTTGATGATTTTCTGGTTTCCGGCCGGTTCTGTTCATTGTGTGGATGGTTCTTTGGCTTACTGTTGGCCGATGTGTACTGTTTGGTGTTCGATGTAGATGGTTTCTCGATAGTTGGCCTAGGTTTGTTTTCTCTCCCTCGTCGTGGTTTGGTGGGTATTTATACCAACCACTGAAACTGTCTGCTCCGCCCTTCACGGGCTATTTTTGGGGTCGTTTCCGTGATGGGTCAGTCCCAGGATACCCGCCGACTGATTCGAGCTTGATGTTTGATTATCCCCCTTGTGCACCGCCTATGACATGCATGACTAGGGTTTCCAGACCCTGAACCGTATCTTGCTACTAGACTGGTTCAGGCCCGTTATTTGGACTGGACTTTTGACTGTTATTGGACCGTGACTCTCTGGACTAAAAAAGGAACTGAAAATAAAATGAAAATAAAATTAATAAAAGGAAAGGGAAAAAAATAATAATAATAACGATAATAATAATAATATTATTATATAAAAAAATATTTTTCAAAAACCTATATAATATATATTTCCAAAAGTATGTTAAAATTATATATTATATATTTTAAAAAATGTTTTTTAAAATTATATAGTTTTCAAAAATGTTTTTAAAACTATATATTATATAAGTTTTTAAAATGATTTCAAAACTATATAATATATGTTTTCAAAATATTTTAAAAACTATATTTATTTTCAAAATGTTTTTAAAAACTATATAATATATATTTTCAAAATGTTTTAAAA